CATCCAACTGCCCCCCTGCTCGTGCCCCCTTACCCTGCTGCTCAGAGCAGCAGGACTAGCAGCCACGCCACTTGGCTGGAGCCAGCCACGCCTCCACGCTGCCCAGAGTGCTGGTGGCACGGCAAGCTGAGGCTGTGGGGGAGGGGCTAGGGGCTAGCCTCCCTGGCCGGGAGCTCAAGAGCTAGGCAGGACGGTTCCCCGGGCCAGATGTGGCCCACGGGCTGTAATTTCCCACCTCTGCCTTATGGTATAAGGTCTTCCATGTTAATTTCTTCTATATCTCTTTAAAACACCGTGCATATTTCTGTGGCTGAGTAGGGAGCCAGGGTTTGCCACCTTTGCTCACACTGGGCAGCACCGTGCTCCATGAGTCGTCCCATTGATTTCGTGGAGTAAGGTACTACGCTGCGCAGCTTGAGTCAAGGTACCACAGTCTGGGCCTAGACATTATCCTCATTTTTGGATGGCATCTAAAACTGGACTTGCTGGAAACAGCATGAGGAAAAATGCTTCTGGTGCAAGACAATAGTTTGTGAGAATCTCTGAGGTACAGAAGGTGGGGAAACTTCCCCTGGTAGTAAACCCTCCGTAAAGACTTCAGGAATGTAACATTGCCATTTTCTATTGCGGTGAGGGGAAGAAAAATCATACTCAAACCCCAGTTGTTCCAAAAACTGCTGTTCTGTGTCTGTATTATATATCCATGGAGTTGCCAACACTGAGCTGCAACTGAGTGTTTAATACCATTGGACATCCTTTAATCATTTATCCCTTGTGCACTCTTCGCTAATTTTATTAAGCTTCATGAGCCTGATTCTCCTCTCTCTTACACCGGTATAAATCAGGAGTAACTCTACTGCAGTCAGTAGAATTACATTGGTGTGCACATGGAGTAACTGAGGTCAGAATCTGAGCCTGTGTGTCGTTTTTTCCCCTTTAAGCCAGGGCAGTAAAGGCGGCGGGGGGGGGGGGTGGCTAGGGGCAGCCAGCAGAGAACTTTCTCTATTGTGGAGCCTAAATGTTGCCTTCCTTAGCTTCAGGCCACTCCTGCTTGTGGTATAAATACATTAAAGATGGTGAAGCACTTTGAGCTCTATTGTTGAAAGGCGCTGTATAAGAGCTAGATATTAGGATTGTTATCTTTTTCCAGGTCTCAGAATTATTCTCTGCCTTCATTTATATTGTGGTTACCTTGAAGGTATTCATAGAATCACTGTGCTCCCGGACTCACACAATCTGTTGTAAATCATCGGTGCCGAGCTCACTAATGAGCAGCCGGCGTTCAAGGTGTTTAAGAGGGAACTTCTAAGGAGCTCCGTTTAGGACAAAGCTAATATCAGGGAGATAAAGATGTAACAAACAAGAGGGCTGGAGGGGAGGCAAAGGGGGCAAAACGACTCACAGTGGTGAATCCCTCACCTGATGACGGCCAGATCCTTCTTTCTGCCCCCAGTAGGTCTTTTCCACTCCTCCAGCATCACCAGAGACTGTCTGTTGAGAATAAGACCACAGAGAAAGAGGGCCGTGGGGGGCAGAAACATGATCCCCAAACCATAAGCCATGTTGTACTTGGGCAGGCAGGGGCAGTTAAAATCAAAGGAAGTATACATCTTCACGCTAGCCAGGGCTAGCAGCCCACAGATCCCATTCATCACCGACTCAGAATTGGACTGAAAGTATTGGAAGATCATCCGGAACCGATCCATGGTGCTGTATTGGCTGGGGGCTGCTTCCCAAGGAGAAATCCCTGGTTAACTTCAGATTGATGAGGTGCTTGCTGGGGGCAGATGGGCACGGCTCTGCGACCCTTTTCTTGGGTTTTCTGGCTACGTGCGTTCTAATCTGTCTTGTTTCAGTTAGGGTTAGAAAGGCAGCTTAGTGCACTTGGGTGGGCGAAGAGATAGAAACAGGAAAGCAACGCTGCTTACGGTGACACGCAAAAGCACCTGTTGAGGATTCCTGTGTCCATCTAAATGGGACCAGATCAATGCAGCTGCCTCTCTTGTGCCTCTTTCCCTTCCAGGGTAGAATCCTGTGTGACGGCTCCTGGACACAATCTTTTCAATTCAGCCTTTAGCCAGATACTTCCCTTTCATGGCAGGATGCAGTGGCTGGTCGTTCTACTTTCTAAGTAGATGGATACAGCCTCTGTGTGTTATTTTTCTCCCCCTCTTTCATCCACAGCACTTTAATACATGCCACACAGCAGCAGCCTGGAGGTAGGATAAGATACACATTCCCAGGACATGGAACACTAGCTCTCCCCTGTAGAAAGAGTTGTCTCCGGATGCCTAGGAGCTATTCTCTCCCTCATCGATGATGTGTTGTCAAATGAGTCATCCCTGGTGATCAAGCTAGCTATTCAAATGAACTTATTTGTCTACATGCCTCCTCCCTGTTTCTCTGTGTTAGCATGGTTGGCTTCTGTGCATTAGCTCTTAAGCTGTGACCTAGATGCTAGAGAGCAGGGGTGTAGGAGACCGGTTCAATTCCCAGTGCTGCATGGGACTTGCTTTGTGACCTTGGGCAAGTCACTTAATCTCTGCTTCAGACTCTCCATAGCTAAGCATAATGGTATTAACCTTCCTGACAGGGAAGTTGTGTGGATTCATTGTTTTCAGATCCTTGGTTGGAACTTTGATTCCAGGCCTGTAATATCAACCAGTGGTTTGATCACATGGCAACAATGGGGGGCCCCGTAGTTTTCCTTGCTCTGTCTGCAGCACCATAGTGTATTGCTACTGGCGCTCTGATACACGCTGAGCAACATTGTTCCTTGTACTCCCCTGTTTGTATCCACCTGTTGTCTCTTGTCTTCTATTCTGAGTGTAAGCTCTTTGGGACAGGGACTGTCTTTTTGTTCCGTGTTTGTACAGCACCTAGCACAATGGGGTCCCACTCCATGACTAGGACTCCTTGATGCTATGGTAAAACCATTGCCTAATACTATTGCAATATGTGCACATAAGCTTACCAAGCAAATGTTCAGATAACAAACCATGGCCATATATATACAGCCCAGACATGGTCTTCATCAGGAATCAAACCTAGGAACCTTTGAGACCGAAGAGACAGGCCTCTACCTCTTAGAATGAATGCGACTTTCTTTCTCGGGTATGCTACTTTCTCACGGGGAGTTATGGTCACATGCACTAGTCTAGTGCAACATGACTTCACTGTGCTGGGCCAGCATTTAAACAGTTACAACGATCAAAGCTACAAGTGTTGACGTTGGAATTTTAATACAACCTGCCCCTGCTCTCTGGAAAGTAAACAGAGTATTCTGGAAGGTCTGATTTCTATTTTAACACTGGATTTAATTATTTCCAGGCCCTCATCTTCAATTAGAAATAAGGAACTGAACAGCAATTGGGCGGCCATCCCCTTTAATTCTGAGATAGCCCAGTACCCTTTTAATATGTTTTGTTTTGTTAATATTAAGCCTGAATCTCTCTCTGTTGGATGCTTTATACAATGCTGCTCTTGAAGTAATACTGTGGATGTTCAGTCTGCAGCGTGGGTCTTCAAGCTATTTTCTGCACTTGAAACCAGCCTTAAGCTTCCATTAATGTCAATGGGAATGCTTCATGCGCAACAAATCCAGACTTGCTAGGGCAGAGTTGTAGAGCCAAATGTAGTGTAGCTAGCTACAGCTGTTATAGCCTTATTTAGTCTGTATTGCATCTTTTACATTTCTAGGGTGTCCGCAGTGGCAGTTGCCATTTTGTGTAGGAGAGTAGATGCAGCATGTTACAGAGGGAAGACGCACACTGTTCTCACCTGGAGGCTTTACTTCTGTTCTTTCTTGTTTTGCTGTCTTTCCTTTAACCTAAAACACATCATTTATACTGAAAGCATCTGGATGGTCTCTGTGTATTGAAAATCCTAATACTTCTAGCAACAGCTGGACAGCATGAAGCATGGAGTGAAAGGTTGTCCTTAATTTGAAAAATTCATTGTGTGATACAGTACCAGAATCCCAGCCCTTAGAAATGAAAAACCACTAGTAGGTCTTAGTCAATTAAACTCTCCCTGGGGCCATTGCATGATTATTGTACATTTTCCATTGTTTTGCCCATCTCATTTTAAATATTTCAAGTGATGAAGATTCCATCTGTTCCCTTGAGGCTGTTTTACAGCCCAGTAGGTCTTGGTAGCAAGTAGGTTTTTCTTCCTGCTTTCAGCCTAAATTTTTCCTTCCTGACTTTCATTCCAGACAGCTGAGTGTTCACCCTTCTTAGTTACAGCTCATGCTTCTGCAGGCGTTCCAAACACCACACTAGAACGTTTGCCTGTTTTGCAAAATGGGAAAGCAAAGCTCTGCCTCGCTAGCAAAGCAAATCAAGCGGCATTCAACAGAGGTACCAACAATTTCTTCTCACCCCATAAGATCAGCCAATTTCAAATGCTGAGTCAGCAGGCATGAGTCGCCTGTTCCAGGAACAGGTTTCAGAGTAGCAGCCGTGTTAGTCTGTATCCGCAAAAAGAACAGGAGTACTTGTGGCACCTTAGAGACTAACAAATTTATTATTTATAAATTTATTGTTCCAGGAAGTATGTAGGAAGCTCCTTTACTGGACTAATCTGTTTGATATAATCAGTTTTAAAAAAGGGGAAAGGGTGAGATTGCCCCCCTATGTGTAGACAAGTCGTGTGCAGTTTGGTGACACCAAAGATTGCAATGCTATCCCCTTCCCACCAGGACACTGAGTGCTATTCCCTATTTGCATCAACATACACAATTACGTTAATCAAAGACATATGCACACAACCATAATATTTATATTTTCCTTTGCTGCTGAAAGGAAATTGCTTGTTAATTGCAGTCACCAGCAATAAAAACTTGTAGCTGATCAGCAACATCCTCCTCCATGCTGCCGTTATAAGGACATGAAGGGGCAGCCTCAGCCCCGCCCTTACTGAACTCTGCAGGTTGTGTGGGCCTTTCCCATTTTCAAACCACTTTAATTGTGGCTGGGATTATTATTTCATAATGTGCATTTCTATAATGTCTTGGATTCAAAAGTGCTTTGTGAACTGTATGTAGAGCAGTTACTTCTTCAGACAAATCACTTCATCCTGCCGTAAAATGCAGACACTTCTGGGGAAGAACACAGCAACTGTTGACTAGTGCTCACCAACATGAAAAAAAAAAATTAGGAGACTGAGTGGCAAGAATCCTGTATCCAATCCAAACTGCAAAAGGAATTTTAGGTAGGCAGAATATAGTTACTCAGACTGGAGGTTTGGCCAGGGGGCTAGGGTTCTTGGAAAAGGTGCCGTCTGATCTCTGTCTACATCTGCTCAGCACCTCTGTTTGACATCTTAGTGGTACTTAGAACTGGGAGACGGTATTGGTGCTTTGTGGCAAAAACTGAACATTTCACAGTTTGTCACGAGAGAGGGAGAGAAGGAGAGAACATCTCAGGATGTGTAACATATCTATTAAACACGATTAAAAATTTAAACTAATTTTCAAAATTAGGCAAAATTAATTCATCCAACTCACTCTTATGTACAGTAAAAGTGAGGGGCGGAAACCTACCTGTCAGAATATCTGTTTAGATCTATGGGGAACCGTACTGAGTCCACCAAGTCTGGACCTGGCAGTCCCCCCACAGGAATCTGCTCTGTGTTCCTCACCATTGTTTCTATCATTCAGACTTTGTAACTCTACAGAAATGTTGCCTGTGACTCATGTGAGGGGAGCTATTTGATGTGGCAGAGCAGGATGTGATGGAGGTCATTGTTAGCTACCAATGAGCACCCAAAGCTATTATTCCTTACCGTGTGTGTGTGTGTGTGTGTGTGTCCTGTTGGGGTAATCACACACGCTTTGATTCAATACCAAACAGAATCAAAGCATCAGAACAGGGAGGAGGGAAACAATTCTTTAATCATTTATGTGATTAAAATGTCAGACCTAAAAAGAGGGGTGTGTGTTTGTGTGTGAGACAGAGCGAGAGAGGTGCTTGAGAGAACCCTGTCCATAACACACAAGCAGCAATCTCTCTTGCCTTTGGGAGCAAGGCTGATCTCATAAAGTGAGACTTGGAGGGGAGCAAAATGATGAAAATGTTGGCCCCTTGCTGAAATTTAGTGGGTTTTTTTGGCTGGCCATCTCCCAGTACCAAAAGAAAGGGGAAGAAAAGAAATCAGGACGCTGTGACTGACAGTCCCCAGGGCCAACGGGGAGAGGCCAGCGCTCCACGTCAGCCTGATTGACAGGGCAGGCAGGCCAATGAGGGAGTCAGGAGCCCACGGGTCCCGTCCTCCGTGTGAGCGGGAGCTGCGGCCTGGGCCGGAGCGGGGCCCAGCTAAGGCGAGCGCAGGAGGCTGAGCTGAGCTGGGCTGGGAAGCGGAGCTGTGCCGGCCAGAGGGGAATGCGCTGGCGGCCGAGTGGAGCTGAAGTTGGGGCTGGCGCAGCTTCGGAGAGCGAGGGGGAGCCTGGGCAGCGCCCCCAGCCAAGCGTCCAGAGTGGAAAGAACACCTCGGCGTGGGGACGCCCTCGCCCCTGTCCCAAGTGACCACGATGAGGTGGGGGGCTGAGCCCCCCAGGAATCCCGGCCCAGCCTTGTGGGGGTTACAAGGACTCCGCCCCACAGGAGAGTGAAAGGGGAGCCCTCGAGGGCAGGGAGGCCTCTGGGTAAAGGGAGTGGGCGCGAGGACTCAGATCCTGCCGCTAGCCCATTCCACCGGGATAGTG